TATCTTTTTCTTTCTCCCTTATTTTATTCACCAGCAACATAAGCCATAACAGTTTTTTTTCGCCCTCAAGTTTAATGAATGCATTACCCTGAGCACCTGCTGAAGGAGAGCGGTGTGGATGGGTGACCTGAGAGGACAGGACTGGTTATGGATTAATTCTGCATGTCTGGACCCTCGGCCTCTTTGGTGCAGCCATGCCGGATAAATACAAATGAAAGAGCGAAATGGTTTTGAAAGCCTCCAGAGACTTTCAAAAGCAAGAAAAAAAAAAGTCCTTTCATGGACGCAAGAGCAATTTACCTACATTGCACACTGTTTGGTTCGGCAAAGCAAAAGGTCTAAGTCGAAGCAAATGAGAAGTCACTGACTTTCTTGTGTTGTGAACATGGTGAATAATTGCATGGACATGACTAGTGTGAGTAAATCTGGGCTGAGGGAAGGCCGTCTGCATAAGGGTTGCTAGAGTAGATGAGACTTTGTACTTGAAAAGTGAATTGCGATTCTTGAAGTTATTGGTCATTTAATGCTTCTGAAAAAAAAGAAAGAAAGAAACAAACAAACAAAAAACTAGCATTAACATTATTAAATGCTACTTATAATATTAATAAAAAAATTCTAAGATTTAGGCTAAAATATAATATTTTCCTCACTCACAGAGTCAAAGTTTACATTTGCTCTCATCTTCTCTCAACAGCACAGTGTCTGGCTCATGAATATTAATCATGTTGATTATTTGTGCGAGCTGATTTGCTGAAATCAAAATGTGTATGGTAATAGGTGAGTGCTAGCAAAGCGGCATTGCCATTTGCGCGTTATTTCTGAATAGACCCTGCGGCGGGCGATATGACCAATACTGTGTTCTTCTTCACAGTTTGTTGAACTTAAATCTATTTACCATCAAGCACATCCCATTCTTTACATGCTTCTTTGTGAATGTTTCTTTATCCATCTTGTGTCAGTAACTTTTAGTACTGCACTAAACGGATCTATTTACATACTGCAAAATCTCTAACAATAGACACTTTATACAGTTTACATCACATATCATTATACCCCGATCCTTCTTCTTGGACTTGGAATAATTCCAGATGACTTGGACAAGAAACATATAGACTCTTTCATTCTCTTTTTGTGTGCTAAGCGACAGTGATTTGCACACTAGAGTTTGCTGTGCACTGCAAATCCATTGATATCAGTGGGAACAGTGTAAAAACGCAACTATCTGCGAAGGAATAAAGTGAACTGTCCAATTTGCTTTATTTCTGTTTTATAACTGTTTACAACTGCTAGTTCCACACCCTGATAATTCAACTTAGTTCAGTTCTATAGGACACAACACCGTGAGTGCAGTCTAACAGATTACTAGCCAATGGCTAATGACAGACATTTAGTCACTTGCCACAAAATTTGGTCGCAAATGCAAGTGATTTATTCACGTTATTAATGTTTGATGCCGTTTACTTAATTTTTTTGTAATAACTATTGGCAACCATTGACTGGGATTTGTTTATAACTTTTTTTTCTTCACCAAATGAAGCTGCTCCTGCGAACACTGTGTTCAGGTTATTGTGGCATATAGATCCTGGTGCTGTGGGAAAAGTGAACTACGTAAATGATTGCGTTTTTATTTTGAATCAGTCTATGGTTTGGTATTGATTAGGCATTAACTGGCTTGACATGTTTTCGATTGTGAGCGGTTGTTTTCCAGAGTGTCCTTGAGAGCGGGGCCATTTATAATGACCCTCTGTGACTGCATTAATATGCCATGCAGTTTATATCACTGGGGTCTGGCTTCAGTGCCGTGACCGTAGACCGATCCCTCGTCAATGAGGCTCTGGGATTGAGGGCCGTCGCCTGCCTCTCACTGATAAACTGTCAGGCCGATCGACAGGATCGGTGTTCATCCTCACTCTCCCGGCTCAGCGTGCCTGCGCTTGTCCTTTCTGTGAAGGGAAAGTGTTGCATACAAATGTGGTTCAGGCAACGAAAACACCCAGAGGAACAACTGGTCAATTTAGTTAATTAGGTTGATTGGAGGTGTCTGTGAACTGAATGCTGGCTTGGCTTAATTGTTCAGATGAATTTCTCCTTGTGTGAGAGCGCTTGATGCACACCGAGAGTAAATATAACAGTGGACAGCACATTCATCTTCACTGAACCGTTCTAGAGATGTCAGCCGGTTGTGTACCATAACTCCACATCCCTCCATCTTTCTCTAACACATTTGGGCCCAATCCCAATTCTGCCCCTTAGCCCGTCCCCTTTCCCCTACGCCTCTGTTTCTCGTGTTCACATGAAGGGGTAGAGGTGTCTCGATTCTCTTTTGGTTGGAGGGGAAGGGTTCGAGTTCGAATCCCGCCTCGAGGTCCTTTGCCGATCCTGCTCCCTTCTCTCCTCCCAGTGCTTTCCTGTCAGCTCTCTACTGTCCTCTCAAAATAAAGGCATAAAAAGACCATAAATATAACTTAAAAAACAAAAAAACAAAAACAGTGGTTTACTGAACAAATGGCTCTTTCTTTAAGTAAATTCAATTATAACTACAATTTTCTTAGGGACAATAATCTACCTCAGCTTATGCTCTAAACTATAGGGAGCCCTTTTACATTACTATAAGGTTACAATAAACAACAGAGCCCAAACTTAAATTTAATTACTATTTATTTTTAAATATAATAATCAACACTCGACTTTAAAAAAATTTATGCAAACATGTAATTGCACAAATTTTTGCACAAATTGCACAATGTTTTTAAAGGGGTGGTTGATTGCGATTTCACTTTTTTAATGTTAGTTAGTGTGTAATGTTGCTGTTTGATCATAAACAATATCTGCAAAGTTACGAAGCTGAAAGTTCAATGCAAACAGAGATATTGTCTTTTAAAATTCTGGCAGTTTAATGCCTACAAAAACGACTGGTAGGGACTACAATGAGTTACTTCCTGGGTTCGTGACATCACAAACCCAGATAAACCTCGCCCCCGGGGAAAGGCAGCAAAGGGGGCGGGGCCATGCTGCGCTGCTTTAGAGAAGAGGAAGAGAAAACTAGAGGTGCACGTAAAAATCTATTCATATATGAATCACGATTCTGTCTTCTAACGATTCTAATGGATTCACAAGTTTCACAATCAATGTTTAAAAGCAGCGGTTCTTAATACTGTTCCTCACGTAAAAATCTATTCATATATGAATCGCGATTCTGTCTTCTAACGATTCTAATGGATTCACAAGTTTCAAAATCAATGTTCTAAAGCAGCGTTCTCATCCTGTTCCTGGCCTCGCCCTGCTCTGCACATGCTCTGCATCTCTCTCTCTCTCTCTCATTCAGATCATCAGTTCAGTGAATACACTTATTTTCATAAGTTTTTTCATACTATAGTTATGAGAAGCGTTATACATGGTGGTTGCCGAACTGTATTAAAGCTTTAATCAGAATAAAACCGTATATTAAAAGCTAACAGAAGCAGTAGCATTTACAAATAACAGCGTATCTAAAAGTATGAGACAACAACAAACAAAAATCTTAGGCCTACCATTAAAAGCCGTGCTTGCACAGGTTCTGCACGATCCTCTTTAATAATATCCTCTGCGTCTCAATCGAGCTCAAACTGATAAGCAATATAGACGACGTCATTGTTTACAATACAACCGGAGCACATGCCGCTATGTTGAGGGGCGGGACTCTTAGACGCACACTAGAGGCGGTTTAGCCAATCACAACACTGGGCCAGCTAACCAATCAGAGCCCATCGTGTATTTCTGAGGGCGGGGCTTCATAAAAGCAGGAAATGATCAGCGCGTTTCTCAGAGAAGGGACAGAACTGTGTGGAATAAAGGGAAATTATGTGAAAAATAATGTGTTTTTTAACAAACGAAGCATTAACACAAGTTAGACTGCACCCCATAAACACAATCAAGCCTATAAAAAAAACAGTCAACCACCCCTTTAAATTAACTTCTAAATTATAAAATTTCTATTTGTTGTTGAAATATAACCATTTACACAGTGGCTGTCATAATTTTTTTCATAACGGATTTATTTAAACATACCTTAGATAATTAAGACATCACTAACAGGTAAAGTAAAACATAATGAATAAATAAATAGTCTAATATTTTGTGAAACGCTACTCTCTAGACTCAAGACACTGATGACTTGCCTGAGGTAAATGAAATGCTGTGTGACATTTTATTTCCACGCTGTTTTATTGAGGTCTTTCCGCGGTTGAAACACTGATTGAGCGATTACATGAGGCGTTCATTCATGTGTATTTCACGCTAAAACCAGCAGTAAATATGAAGGTATGATCACGGTCACTTGCGCTCCGTGCTGCGTTTGAACTGAGGCGGTTGTACAGCGATCTGACTTATTTATTGTTTGACATTCCTGAAGAAAATGGACATAATTTGTAAGAATTTGTTTCTTATTAAAAGTAACAATATATAAAACTGTAAGTTTCCAGTTAAGTTCCACTCGTGCGGTGTTTAAAACAATGCTGTATTTGTTCGGCACACACGTGTACCAAACACAAAGACAGAATAATGTTCGGTATGAATGCGTGTACCGTTACACCCCTAATTCAACACTTGCAAACTATCTAATGTAAAATATAATGGTATGCAGTTCCAGACCTGGAGTGGCGCTCAAGATGTTATTTTCAAGTAGGAAGTTGTCTGGAACACAGCTTTAGTCATGCAGGTTTCGGATAATATTAAGATTTCTAAATGATGAGCTCCTGCTGAGTTTTTTTTGTGGAGAGAGGCTGATGTTCAGTTTTCTAGATGTTTTCTAGAATGCAGTGATGTCAGTGTGTGAAATGGACACACACAGAGGAGGAGTTTGCATCATGATTAACACTCCGACGGCCACAGATGTTCGTATTATCAGTGCACCACTCTCTGATTATTGAATGCTAACAAATAAGTTGCGCCCAGTTTCAGCGGCCAGTCCACCCTGCATAAGCTGGGAAATTAACAAATAAATAACTTGAGATTTGGTAATACTTTATTTTAAGGTCTAATTCTCGCTATTAACAAAACATTAACTACAACTTTGCCTCAAACTCCTAATTTGCTGCTTATTAGTAGTTAGTAAGGTTGTTAAGTTCAGGTATTGGGTAGGATGAGGGATGTAGAATATGGTCATACAGAATATGTGCTTTATAAGCACTAATAAACAGCCAATATGTTATTAATAGGCATGCTAATAAGCAACTAGTTAATAGTGAGAATTGGTCCCTATACTGAAGTGTTACTGAAAATGCTCTATGGTGCACAAGTGTGTCGTCCGATGACAGCCTCTGTTGGGTTTGGCATCAGAAGAACGGATCCCAGGTGCCCTCATCTCTTCTGCTGATGCTTGTGTTGATATGGAGTGGTTTATCGGGCCGTCTCTGCCTTTGCCTTTCCAGCTCTAATGGCAAGTGATTGCCTGAACATCATTTAGATTTTCATTTTTGATATTTGGTGTGAAAGCTTTGGGGCCGCTTTATGTGCCATTTGCATATAAAGAGGCGGCTGCAGGTTCCAGGGAACATCTGCTGTGGTCTAAACGTGTGTTAGATAGATATACAGGGGATAAAAGTCTGTTTGCTTTCATTTCTTTCTCTGTTCTGGCCATTTGGGATTATCCTCGCCACACTGTCCTACTGAAAGCGAAAACCGCTTTTATTAGCGGTTTATTCCATTTCAGTTGCCATGCTGGATCATCTTTGATAATCTAACACCCTGCTGTGCTTTTAGGAAGAAACATGGGTGCATTCAGAGAAAATTCATTTGGTAAAACATGTAAACCGTGAGGGTCTGAAATGGCATTGAGCGGGGAATGAAACCAGACCAGTCAAAATTTTAAGACCAGATAATGACATTTCTACTAGCCTGGATTTTCTGCAGTTTTTAATGGTCAAAAATAGGGATGTAACGATTAACTGCGAGCCGGTTGAAAATCGATTCAAATATGTGAGGATTCAAATCGGTTGAGATGCTAAACAAATCGCGTTTCAGTTAGGGGTAGTTTATATGAATGTATGTCTGAGGGGAACTTACTGTCTTTAGAAAAGTTTAGATGGTATTTTTTCTTTTCATCTTGCCTCTGTATAACGCATATTAAAGTTCATAAGTTCAGCGCTGCTTTGTTTACAGCAGAAACCAAGGAAATGCTTTAAGCGCCACCTGCTGGCAGAGAGTGAATCTGCGTCTCGTTCAGCTCGTCTGCTGTTTCTGTTTCATGCAGATATTTTTATGTATAGTTTCACAAAACTGAACTCAAACCATTCTGTTTTTCCTTCAAATTTCGAAATTATACAATCTAATTTAGATTAAAAAACTGCTCATTTTGCATGTATGCAGCATCTTTGTTTGGATCATGATTAAAATGCAGTGGTTGCAGCTCATTTTAAATGGAAAGAGCACAGACAAAGCCTTAGTTTGTTTATATGAAGAGATTTATTTGATTTG